ACTAAGATTGTAAACAAACAGCGATGGCCTTGATGCATCGTAGCACTCTTTTTAGAGTGCACTAAGATTTCAAAAACGTCAAAAAGAACAGCTGAAAAAATTTGTAAATTATCTCACTTGTGCATAATTTCCATTGTGAAATGCAACAATCATCGCAAATGGATAAGTTCTCGAAAGCCACTCTTGACAGCTGGCGACATTAGTGGTAAAAAACTGGCGGGACAGCTAGAAATAATATCGCAAATGAATAAAAACACTTAAGAAGAATAAAAAGAAAGAACAAAAAACAATAGAGCGGACTTACCACAGATACGTTGCAAATGGGAAACATTGTTCCGTTATTGACATGATACATTAGCTTCTCGAAAATCTAGAAAAAAGACAATGATCGACTGAATCTTGGAGTCCGAAATCCGAATTATTATAAAATTTAGGAGATAAAGACTGAATACTAACCTCGACAAACTCAAGAAGACATCGTACACGCCACCACTCTTCCGCTGCAGAAATGGCCCTAAGAAGCGATTTGGATACAACAAAAACTAGTGGATTTATTCATCGCAGAGGTAACTACCACACTGACCTTGGTTCCCCAACCTCTCCGCCATCTTCTTCTTCTTTAGAAGATTTATCTCGAGTAGAAGACGCGGAGGTACGTGAATTGCCGGAAGATTTTACAGCGGCCGCCGTGGGAACCGCCATGACCTCTTTAGCCAATCGCAAAAGTTCAGCTGGAAATGAAGAGGTATGAACGATGGTTGTTGCGTCATACAGCACTCTGATATTACCTCCTATCTTATTAAAGGTATCCATAGGCTTTCCCAAGGGTGTCTTCATACGATTCTCGATGCAGTAGTTAGCCACATGGGCAAGGGCACGACGCCACTTCTTAAACAGTTTATATAAACGTACACAAATTCATATTGGATTGTTATGATGATTCAGACAAAATGGCATACCGCCATGATATCCGAATGCTTCTCAGCATCCCCTTTCACGCTGCCAATGCTGTCCTCACGAAGCCTTTCCGCATACAGTGTTTCAATCGTATCCATCAGCCATTCGTCATCGCTACTTCTTGAAAAAAAAAAGAAATTATGAAATGTAACATTGCAGCGAGGCTTGATGACGCAGAATAACCCCTCTCTACTAGTTTCCTCCCCTGGGTGACGATAACATTTGTTAAGAAAAAAAAATGGAAGAGAAAGTTCATTCAAGACTTCTCTAGGCTGAAGTGATACGAAATCAAATGAACTAGTCTTCCAAACATCACGCTTTTCGCAATTTCATTCGTGGGCAAACCTTCACACCACCTGAACCCAATTAGTTCTGTAGAATTAAATAAGTTGCCCAAAGAAAAACTGAGGTGGTATGTATGAAGAGTTTGGCTGCGCAACATCGACCCGCCTCCACTTGGAGGCTTTCTTCAACCCTGAGTCGCCTCCCTGAACTTTGAACTACAAAGTAAAAGTAATCTATTTCTGAAGTTACTTACGAGTTTCAAAAATGTGTAAATGACTTGTCCCAGCAAATAACTTGAAAAAAGTTGAAACTGCCCAAAAAACCTTGCAAAAAATTTTATCCCTGGTGTCGCCGCCACGCCCCTTCTTTCAGCTCTCGGATTGTGGGCACACAAAAATTTTGGGAAGCATCCCAAACTTTACGTTCTACCATGTAAAATTTCTCTATCCAAATTTTTTTACATGCTAAGTTCTGAATAAGCACATATACCAGGCAAGCAGTTATGGCCATTGAAATGTCCACAACTCCTTAAAAAATCAAAGTCTTTGCGGCCTTTATCAGTTAAGGTAACAACGATAATTCTGTTCCCTATTTGTATTTTGTGTCACACTCTCAGTACTGCAGATCAACAATGAACGATCGCAGAAGTGAATCACCTACTTTTCGCTCCGGCAAAACCACCATATTGGGTGGAAGGCAAGAGCGGCATATGAAAGGTATTGAACAAGTTTTGAGTTTCAAGCGAACGCCAAAAAAGGACCACCCACTAAAGAAAACCCTTTCCAAAAAACAAAATCATTCAGCAACCGGATTTGAAACGCAACTTCGTTCAGAGCAGGTTTTGATAAAGACATTTTGGCATATGAGGGCTTTACGTTTCATCGGCCGTTCAATGATCCTTTGGAAACTTAACGAAAAACCAAAAGATGCAAACACTAACTGGTTTCTCTGCATCGACGGTACAATTCTGTTCAAAAGGAATTTCATGATCAACATGAAATCATCTGTACCAAACGTAGACGACTGCAGGCGAAATTGTCCCATCTCCAGCTGATCCCAGCCAGCGGTGCAGAGAGCGCACCTAAATGAACAGAATGAACTTCGGATTCTCAATTGAGAAAGAGTGTCCCGGAAGAATTTTATTTTTCAGTTCTTCTACCTTTTCGGGGTTTTCTCGAATAAGGAATCCATATTTGGGCTTTTCTGCACATGAATATGGCAAAAATGAGCCGTTTTCAAGGCTTTTTAGGTCTGGATTCAGTGAAAATAGTCGAAGTTCTCCGCGCTCCGCCTCCCTCGTTTCCGACTCCGCCTACTAACGCGCATTTCCGCTGAATGCAGAT